ATTAAACGGAATCTTGATGGATTTTGTAAACTGCACTCTGTTTTTGTATTAAGTACATAAGAAGTATTCAGAATTCATCCAGGAGCGATGCACTCTGGTATGGCAGAAAGAATGCTGGGTAAAATTTCCCTTTGCAGTTTTAATAATTAATTACTTGGTAGATAAATCCCTCTGATAAAAATACACATGTTGTACATTCCACAACAAATGGTTGAGGAAGTTCCAGCTCCATCTGTTGCAAATGGACAATTTTCACCTCTGCCAAGTTTGGTAGTTTTGTGGTCTGTAACAAAGGAATACTGAAGGTGAAGTGGCTTATCAATAAAACGTATGACGCAGTGCAAGTTTTGACGGATGTCTGTTTTGGTGGGTTTGTTGAAATGAATATACAAACACTAAACCAATGGGGCAGACAAACAAGAAACCCCCAGTTCACCTTATGTTTGAGTGGCTGTTCTTTTAACCTCAGTCTGAGAAACATTATTACTCCAATGAATTTAAGCTCTGCTCACATGTGGAGTAGTTATTCGATGCAATTGAATGAGAGAAAATGGAAAAAACTCACACGTCACATGTGGACACTCCACATGTAACATCTTTACACCTTTTGTGTAAGATACTTGTTTGTTAAATGCAGTACATCACACTTTCATTTACTCTTCTTCCTCTTAATTTGCTACTGATTGATGGCAAAAGCTGTCAAAGAAGCTGAAATAGTAACTCGTCCACACACCTTAGTGATGCAAAAACTGCAACATAACCAGAATTGTCTGTCAGAATTGACTGATCATAAAGCTAGTGTCATATCCGCAGTATAAAATGTTTGTTTGCCCATTTTATATCATGACTTGAAAACACATAGTTTCCTGGCTACCAAAATTAATGTGCTTGTTTGTAAAGTGTGCAAGCATTTAAAAAATCATTGTACAGTACTACTTTGCTGGACAGTTTTAACATAATCGCTGTTGTTTCCCGGGGCACGTCCAACACAATAAACGTTTTCCCCTTGTTTTCCGATTTCACTGCATGATTTATTTTCTTTGGACTCTTGGACCAGTTGTCCCTTTATTTTGAGCTTATTTAATCTTAGAGGCATTTTAAGAATGTGCTTTGTCAATATGACTTCGACTACATTAGTCACCGTCATTCTGTCTGCATGAATCATTACGCGAGCTAGTCTGCTGAAGCCGCACTGATGTTTTTAAGATTTGAACACTGGAATACAAACAGTGGGAGAGCAACGATTTAACATCTCACATCTGAAGTCAATTAACTACTTCATTTTATTTAAATAAATACAGTAAACCAATGCTTGCATGTATCAGACAAGAATAGAGCATAATGCCATTGAATTAATCAGAGATCTTATTTATGACACATACACAGACACATTTGGACACTTGACCATTGTCAGCGCACATAAAATTGTACCAACTCTAGGCATGTTAGAATGTGGAGTGTCAAAGAAAAGGCCAAGCAATTTGGGCAAAAGCTTTCCGTTGTTGATTTTTGAGTATAGTTCGTCTATGAGATGAATATTCAGATGTATATAAATGATTTTGTGTATACAGAAGCATAAGGTAACTCCATGGTATTGCTACTGATACGTGAAATTTTATATTATAACACTGTGGTGAATTCACAACATTGCTATTGGTGCTGCTGTGTAAGTAGTCAAGTGATGTCATAAGTAATGCTTGTAATGCCATAAGCTGTGCTTTAGCAAAGCTACTTCAAAGCTGCGGCCGTCTCCCTAAACACTGTCTATTATCAAGTTCTTAAGTATGATACAATTGACAACGTGTGACAACGTACGATTACAATTAAAGGCTCAAAGGGCATAACACATGCCTTCTTTATTTTACAGCAGTCATCAAAGTTTGTTGTAATGGTCTGACACAAAAGGAAATCTATTGTTTATTTATAGCTGAGAATACATACAGACAGAAAGCAGGCAGTAAAAAAATAATATCGCTAAAGTTTCACTATGCTGTCTACTCGTTTCTCCATAGACTTAGCCACCATAGCTAAAATGAATGACAGCAGATTGCTGTATTTCCAATAAATTCAAATAGAATTCCAAATGAATTTCAATTCAACTCTTGCTGGTGTGGATGACCACACTTTAGGCCTGGCGGTGTTCACAAGCCAAAGCATGGTGTCACACAGAGGTGCAGTATGTGAGGTGCAGGGTGGAGTCTGACCTACTTCTACACATTTTCATGAAGACTTTCATGATGTTTGTTTTTTTTCTGTTGTCTTTTTAACTTCATATTTAATGGCGGAGAATGAAGGCTGTGATCCAATCAAAAGGACTTTGCACCTTTTAAAGCTTTATATGACAATATATGTTTCTTGGAGTATTTTTGATTTAACTGGGAACATATAAACATGTCGTATGGAATGTGCTCTTTTAATTCTAAAATACAATACCATATACTCCTGTAAAATACTTGACTCTATCTTGATTCAACTGCATACACCCTTAAAGACATTTTAAGAAGGTGTTTCTTTGTGTCCAAGCCATCTTCGTCTTAAGATGAAATTTGTGTTCAGTGAAATTCATGTGAGTTTGTGGAGGATAACTGCAAATTTTGTTTAGTCAACCAAAAAAAAAATTTTTTTTTTTGCAGGCGAAATCAACCTTTCCTTTGGCTGCCATATTTATTTCAGCTGTGCTATCTGAAATGTGTTTTCTGGCTAGCTATTTTAAAGTTATATTTTTTAAAAAAAGGTATTGAAATGAAATCTTGTCAAGTTTGCCATTGTACCTTTTGTTAACCTATAGTCTAAAGGGCTGGCCTCCAGAAATTGAGCGATTTCCACACCCCTGCCCGCTTTTGGAAGGTTCCTATGAGGGAAGGACGAACAAAGGTGCTCCGATAAAATTTCATCTCCAAAGATCTTATTTCTGAGAACAACACCCTTCCTTACAACGAACAACACTTTGCTTTGAACCATAACCAAGTCTCTGTTACGTCTGGACTCTGCTGGCCCCAATCTGCGCTAGCTGATAAATTAAACATGCTTTGAAATTCCGCTGTTTGCGTGATTTTATTGCTGCTTCATCTTCAGAAACCGTGGATAGTGCTCAGTGCCAACAGAAACTGGCCAATCAAACCTTCTGGTGTGACTTTTACATTTCACCACAGCCATAAATAGTTTGTCTTGGCCTTATGTCAGAGATCAAAGAACGGCAGGAATTCTGGGCCACGGTAGGATAGATCACGTGACACATGTATGTTTACGCTGTTACCATGGTGAGGATAGTGTGTTCCAGCAGGGTGAACATTAGAACATTAGACCTACACTGAAACGTTTCAGCAAAAAATGTTCCTATGCTTATTTTTCTTTAAAATAGGCTGGTATCCAATTTATTTTTCATATTTTGTTAAGTAGCAATAAAGGTAAAAGAGACAAATGAACTAGATACAGAACACTACCTTGTCTGATTAGCACAGCACTTTGTCTTATTTAGGTTTACCCACAATAACAGTTTAAAGGGAAACATTATACAAACAAAACATATTTAAGATACAAAGCATCTCATTTGGAGTAAATAATTGTGTTCTGTTTATGTTTATATATTAAGTTAATATTGGCTAAGGTCAGGATACAGAAATTAGACACCAAACTGAAGATCTGCTCTCCTACTCTGAGACAATCAATGAATAATGGTTCTTGGCTGTAAAAAAAAATAGATTATGAATTTTCTAAAACCGATCATTGACCAACATACAAAATCTACTGGCTGTACTTCAGTTTTGACATGAATAAAAATGCTCAAATATAGTTATTCATTTCTTTCAATGCTCAGTATATAAATAGGTCCTAAATATCAAACCCTAAGCAAATATTTGAGAGGGGAGGCACCCTTCTGTGATGTAGAGTTTAATTAAATAGGGCTTTCCAGTTGGACCCTCTGCTCAGAAATATTCTGTGTACTTGCCATCACAGTCCTCTAGGATCGGTGTCCACAGATCCGTAATACTTTCAGCCAGCGATTTGCACCAAGTTAAATGTATCTGATGCGAAAATAGGTGTTTGATGTGGAACCATGCTGACCTTTGCCTCACACCAGTCTCAGCATTGTTAAAGAGATTAAGGGACACCTGTAGAATGGAGTACTCTTGTGTTTCAGGGCGTGCCCCAAACGAGAACAAACACCTGCTCTGTTTGTGATTAAAGTATTAGAGTGCGCATTTAAGTAATGACAGACCATATATGTTAATTACATCAGATGGTAAACATGCTGTAAAAGAGCTTGTAACTCTAATCATCTCCATTTCACCTATTAAGTAATGTTGTACAAAGGCTGGAGAAAGTTAGGGGAGAAAAAAAATCCAGCCCATTTTCTATGGAGGTGGCGCCATCTAAAGTTGAGAAATGTGTAGTACACTGTTTATCAGTACGGAAATGGTGAACATGTTTTATCCTAATTTTTGTTTTGTTTGTGTGGTCAGTGATTTGGTTGAAGGTAGGCAACAACAATAACAAAACGAGAGATTCTTGTATTTTGGTTGAGAGAAAGATCTAGAAAATCAGAATTATCGAAGAAATTGATAGCTAGCCAACTTGTTCTTCAAGAACTTCAGAACCGCAGGCAAGTGAATACAGCTGCTGCCGCCAAAGGTTTCCCAACATTATCACTCAACTCTTTTTTTTTTTCCGTGATGTGTGTCCATATAGCGCTACTGCTGTAAATGCTGATATTTCAGTTTCACAAATTGACTGGTACTACACGTTACAGAAATGTAACTGTAACTTCACCAGCTGTATTTGAGAGTTTGACATTCCTGACTGCTTGTATGGAACTGAAAGAAGAAAAAAGGAAAAGAACAGCAAGCCCTTCCTATTATGGGAGCTCAGCTCAAGACTGGGAGGCAAGAGGGTCACCATGTTGGAAGCAGTATTCCTACATGAGTGACCTGGTCAGCAGGGGCACCTGCAGCTGCCACCACCACCACCACCAGGGGTCACTGTGCTGGCACCACACTGCAGGGCTCGTCCAGGAGCTGAACCCAAGACCTCTTGCACCCTAAGCAAGAATCATACCCCTGGACCAACGAGCCCAGCCATGGCACCCTCACCTTCCACTCGGACTGTGATGGCCACCCTAGTGGTGAGAAATTTCCACACGCCAGAGCCCACGTCCTCTCGGGCGCCAGGAGAAGTAACCGGCACCACCCAGAGGAGCATTGGTGGTATAGTGGCAAGCATAGCTGCCTTCCAAGCAGTTGACCCGGGTTCAATTCCCGGCCAATGCAAGCCTTTTAGCCTTTTGGGGCCAGCCCGAGGTCAAAGCATCAGGTCAGGAGTGGGCAGGGATGAGCGTTGATGTCGCGGGCGGGGAAAGCATGGCGTCGTGAAGGCAGCCGCTGGAACAATGGAGACGCGACGTACAGGCTAAGGGCTGCAGCGCGTGCAATGAGTCAGTGTCAGGGCTTAGCCAGGGACTCAGATGCGGACGTGGAATTAACAAACATTTATGGAAAGTGAGTTAAAAGAAAAAAATAAGCACAATCCAAAAATCAGTTGAGTATAGGCAGTGGTCAAAACCTGGAAGACATGGCAAAAGTACAAAAGGGAGATCCAAAGGGCAGAGATAGGTACGCAGGCGAATTGTCGATCTCTAGAAGACATAGCAATCAGACAAAGACAGAATCCAAAAGAGAGATTGAAAAAAACAGGCAGGTAAAACACAGGAAATCAGACACAAGTAAAAAGCTGACAGTGAGACATGGAAAAATATTGAAACAAACTGGCGACAGAGATGAGAACACAAGGAGTTTAAATACAAACCTAACGAGGACTAAACAGGGAACAGGTGTGAGAACTGGCAGGTGAAGCAGGGCAGGTCATTAGGCAATTAACAATCAGACAATCAATGAAACAATTAAGCAGGGAACACATGAGGGATATGAAAACACAAGCACATGGCACAGAAAACAGGAAACATGGAAGTAAACACAAAAAGCAAGCAAGCAACAGACTAAGACACTGGGTTCCTCACAGCCAGTTGATAGTTGAGTTGCAAATGTGCGCCATTTTTGTGAAAAATTGAACTGAAAAGGCATTTGTCTCAAATTGACCTAATAAAATACCTCTACCATATGAAGCGAAAGGAGGAATAAAGTTAATTCAAAATGAACCCATTAATTACCTGACTAATTAAAACTAACCCATTACTTTGTCTGGATATGTCTCCATTCAGTATACATAGCCATGTGATATCATGTTGAGGTTTTAATAGTCTGAGTGCTTACTGAGCGTTACTCACAGTATAACACAAAATCAGTGGTCCGTACCTCAGGACACTACAGGCTGGTGTTACGTACATTGAGCAGCTGGTGCTGTCATACTCTGAATCGCAGTTGGATGGCGCCATCGGCACGCAGAATGGGGCTGCCGCTCTTGCTCTCGTGCAAAAGCTCACGGTGGCCGCCACCCTGCGGCTCATATGCCCTAATAAAATCCCACCAATCAGGAGCAGAGAGCCAGAGCAGCAGCAGCCCAGACTCCTCCTCTCTCAGACCCTGTCCAGTCTGGAGAGAGACGTATTGGGTGGCCATAGGGAGCACATCGTGGTCACTCTCGTCTCCCAGATCGCAGCCAGTGGGCACCACTGGCAGGGAGAATTGCGATGTCACTGTACTCCAGTGAAAAAGCTTCATTTCACTGGCTGACAGCAGCACATTTTCAGCATAGCTCCTCAGCAATACCACAGAATTGCTATATGGGCATTTTCAGACTGGTCACGTTTTGAGATCTGTTCTGAAACCAGGTTTAGGAAATCTATCCCATTTTTTCAGCAGCTTCATGTGTATTCAAGGAGAAAAAAAACACAATATGGAAATATGGGAAGGTTGCTATGGTAACCACCAGGAAGATGGTGTTAGAAAACTTGCCTTTCAGCTGGTTTGGTATGATTAATGTGTTCAAAACAGTCGGCCTGCTACCATTGACATTTGGGATACGTTATCCACCAATATGGAAGGAATCCTTTACGACTGCTAACATCACATTCGTCTGACACTTCATACTAATCGGATTTGAGTTTTGCCCAAAAGAACAGTGCGCCAATGTTTTTGGGTTCAAACATGAGATCGCTTAATACTGGTTGGACTTGGAACATAGTTTTGGTAGTAGTCAAGCTGATACCTCCTCAACAATCTGAAAAAAATGAAAATAAGAAAACAGACTTGTTTTTTATTACCCGTTTCTTTAATTTCAAAAAGGACAAGCATGGATTTAATTGAAAATACACAGCCTCCTCTCCTCTCAGGCATATGCTATCCTTTATTCAGTTTTCTACCCCAAGATACCTGTGCAAAAGTGTGTCCAATCGCCACAGAAAAAAATGGCAGGTTGCAAGTTTTAACTACGATTTCAAGACAACTTTCTTTTGCTGTAGTTGTTAGCTGTATTGGTCCATAGGAGATCTTTGTAGTCCGTGTTAAGCCAGAGATTGAAGCCCCAGTTTGTGTGTGTAGTTCTGAGTATGTGTGGGATTGTGTATGTGTGCATGTGAGTGCATTTGTGTTCATATATGATTGCATATTTTTGTCTGAAAACATTGTGAATGTTTTGGATCAGGGTGAAAGAGAAAGACAGACAGAGAGCTAGTGGGTCTGAATTAGTCATGAGGGTTTGGCTTCTGCATTTGGGCTTGGGTTAGTCGTTAGATTATAGCCTGGGGTGATTGGGTGGTGTATTAGTTTGGGTTAACTGGGTTAGACATTCGGGTCTGAGTTAACAAGTATTAGGACACTGGATGTGGAGGGGTGTGCTTGAAATTTGCCTTTCAGTTCCTTCAAATTTACCCTGCACAGTGACTAACTGTTCATTGACATTTGCATTTTTTATATTTGCCTTGGAAATACCCTGAGTGAAATATGAAAAGAAACATTCACTCCAATTTATCAGTTATTAAATATGTACAGTGCAAGATCAAAGCATAATATGCTTTAGAGTAATACATGCAAAAGGGAAAGTCCCACTAGGTGATGCTGATACTGCACAAAGAGACGTTCATGAAAGCAGTAGAAAGAATCGATTCAACATTATGTGCAACATTATGGAATTGTGCTGCGAAATGACCCCTAACACTTGGCACCCAGCCATTTGTCCCCCGAACAGTTTGATACTTATAGAAAATATCTTTCCTATGTATTTGGTTCTTACACTTGACATGCAAATACATCACAAAAACTCTTAATGATATAAAAGAGTCCCTCCCTACATTTGTACATTGGTACAAATCCACACAGAGAAAAGTTTGGATGATTTGATAGAAAATAAGGAAATAAAACTGAATCTCACACAGAATATCTTCTGGTTCACCAAAAACAGCCCCTGCATGACTTCATCAGGACCTGAGACTGAATCCTGCTTCATGATAATTCTCAAGAGGTGCAAAGAGTGGTTTCTGGGTAAATCAGGGCCACGTTGCTTTGTGGGCTTTAAAGACTGGTGGGGGTATGTTGGTTATCCTTATTTTAACTTTCATCACAACAAAGAAGAGAAGGAGCAAGTTAACAAATCTGTGAAGAAAAATATTTTCCTCAGTATGTTAAATGAGCCAAAGTTTCTCACTAACGATTTCTATGATTTTGGGAAGTATGTGACATTTGTTCCCCTTGATTGATTCCATTCTTTCTAAAGCCTGATTTTAGATCATATAGGTCACTCTGATGATCAGGGCCATTCACACACATTACATTTCTTCATCTTATTTACTTATTTCCTATTAAGAAACAGACTTTAGCTCTTATTGATATTTTAACTCATATTGACACAGTTTTGATATATCACTGATAAATTATTTCTCCAGTCTTCTTGACATCATGTAATTATTCTCAAAGAGCATTTGTTCTGAGATGAAAGGGGGTATTTAACGTGGAATTCCAAGGTGATTCCAAGGCCACTGTTGTAGGATATCATTTACTGTAATATATCATAATGTAAAACTGTACTACTGTGTGTCTATCTGTATTTCTGTGTTTTCTGAAAGTGCCATGCTGAGGGTGGCATTTCAAATAAACACTTTCATTTGCAAGCATTTAATTCTGTGTTTTTGTTTTATCTGACTGAAAGAACAATATGATTTTCATATTCAATACTGGTCCAATGATCCGAGTTCGGCAATAAAACAAGAAATTAGCCCTATATGATGAACTGTGGCATACCCACCAGAATAGACAACCGGAGTCTTTTCTGGAGCCATTCAATCACAGCAAGAGATTTTTTAAGAAAAAGGAAAAACAAATATCAGTTCCAGAAATCAGGGTGTGCAACATGAAACCAAAAAACCAATAACCTGTAACAGTCGGCACTCAGTAAAAACCAACTCATGCAGGACACAGAAAAGAATCTCCAAGAATTAGGAACTCAGAAAGAATCTAGTCACAAATAAAATACAAAACAAGGAAGAGTAAAGAAATAACTTAAGATGAGAGCTTTGCAACAATACAGCAAAAAGGTTTCTTCTGTTTGGGATAGAACAGACAGGCACACAGGGCTTTCAAAGTGCTACACATAGTGTGGTATCAATTTATAAGTCAGAGAGGAGTGCAGCACAAGATTACCAGCAGGGGGCAGAAATACCACAGGAACCAGTGCATGCCATGAACCAGTGGCATTCAGTCTCTGGGTGCATTCCAACACTTTTCTCTTTGCACCTCCTTTCCTCCACTATCACCTCGTCTCCTCCCTCCCTCCAGTACTGGGACATTGGAGGGAGGGAAGAGATGAGGTGGCTATGGAGGAGAGGAGGATACATTTTTTGAGAGCTGGAATGCACCCCTCTGGTGATATCCCTGTGAATACTAGGTTGTGTTCCAACCTCAGCTCTTATCACTAAATTGTAAGAGGCTGTTCTTAATTGTTCTTCATTATAGTCTAGTCATTATTATCATTATCATTATTATTATTGTTGTTGTTGTTTTAATCAGTATAAATCATTGTATTACATTATAGGCATTCAGCAGACGAGCTTGTGCATTATGTTGGGACAAGGGTGTTAAAATGGTAGAGGGGGGTAAAGATCTCAAGTGGCAGAAGGGTTAGTATG